AAGTCTCATGTATTGTTGGTGTGGATCGAATGACTCAATAGAGAGCAATATTGCACGGGGTTGAGTTGCTGATTTTCATTGTGATATATGAACGCTTGAGGCCAACTCAAGTTCTTCTGATTTTTTTCTTTTTTGGATTTTATTTTGTTTGGTTTTGGTTTTTTTTTTACAGCTAAATAAATTCAGTGCTGTTTGAAACTTAGACTGACGTCAAATGAAAAGGATTATTAAAGAAAAAAAAAAAAAACCAAGGTGTTTAAATGTTGCTGTTTTTACAAGTCTGTTGCTGTCTGAATGGAAATATTCCACAAGAGAGGAGGAATAGTTCCACTTAGCTTCCAAACGAGCTGAGCGCTCCAGGCCAGAGCTCAGTTATTTGGAGATACCTTAGAGACATGGTTCTGCAACATTCTTTTCAGAGTTGATGCCAAGGCAGAAGACAAACTGTAACTGTAAGAAAGCATCCGTTGCTTGAGGATTTTCATGTCAGTGTTGTATTTATGGTTTTACAATAAAACAACCTTTAGGAAAAAAAGTGTCTGGGGTTTTCTGTTTTTCAAGCACATGACTGGGGCATCGCCTCGTGCCAAGTGTCTTGTTGTGAGGGGGGAAACCGTCCGTTAAAGTGACCTGCATCTCAGCAGTGTCTCTTTGGTGGACCTCATCAGCTGTAAAACTCTACAGTGGCCTTCTCCCTGCATCCCTTGTGCCTCCAAAGCTCCCTAAAGCATTTCCCAGAGTCTCTTCTGTCTCATGCTTGGTTGCCAGTGCAGTGAACCTGCTCCTCACTCAACTGAGACGTTTGTATGCAGCAAGAGGTGAACCAGGTTTGCCTGGCCAACTGGAGGGGTGGCTTGGTGTGCTGTGGTGCTGTGTTTGTAGTCACACCACTGGGGCAGATGCAGCTCAGGTGGCTTTTTTGCTGCTAAAGCAGCACAAGCTGATGCTGGGCAAGATAGTCTGAACACAGGTACCGTGTTCCTGAGATGTTCACTGCTATCAGCAGATCCACCTGCAGACTTGCGGGCACCCCAGGAGAAAAGAAGCATTCGGGCCTTGGGCAGGTGCGGCGCAGGCGCACTCCTTTCCGCGAGACAAGGCCCTTGGCAGCTGGGTGCAACCCCCGTCAAAATGCGACAGGGCGCAGAGATCTCTGCTTGGAGGCTCTGTCAGTCTTGGCCTCATCAAAGCGTCTCGCAGAGTCACAAGAACGTGGTGGTAAGTGGGGATCACTGGCAGTTTTGTGTGCGGGAATGCAGCCTTGCTGACGGTGTCTGGAGCTCCAAGACCCACCTCCAGGTGGACCAGAAATGACCGGGGAATTGTCCCGAGTGGAACAAGTACATAGGCCAGGGTTCAAAGGAGACCAAGCCTACCACTGGAAAATCCAAGGCACACTGTCCATTACCCTTTGTATATCCTTTTCTTTGACCTGTTTTGATATCCTCTGGGGTTTTCTAACCTTGCACCCACCACCCACCCACCAAAAATAGCAAGCGAAAAAAACCTGCCTGAGAATTAGGAAATTTGTAGTTAATTAGTTGGGGCAAAAAACAAAGCCGAAAGACGTGGAATGACGATGGGTCTGGCAATTGGATAAACTCTCTTGGCTAGTGGTCAAGTGTGAAGATAAGCCACAACAATCAATAACAGCTATCAGAATATGATGGTAAGAATGGCTGTAGATTTGGTGTAAAAGTGATTTCAGTAAACAGATCAGATGCCCTCACATCCTAACCAGATAGGAGTTAGGATTTGTTTGAAAATCTAAATACATAAAGTGGATAATGTGTAGCCAAAAGGCATCAAAGACGAGGGCAGTGCTCCTTGGCACGCCAGTGTCTCCCAGCACTAAATAGTCCTTTTTGCTAGACCCATTTAAAGGATAAATAAGATTGCAGATGGAAACCTATGAGGTTTAAGCTAATCCTGTCTTCCCGATTTTCTAATTTCTGCCTTAACAGGACACAACTGCTTTAGCCTTAGTAACAAAGGAAATGGTAGCTCAGAATTCAGGCTCTGCTGGAGGTACCCCGTAGTTTCCTCTGATTTCAGAAGGATCAAAAGCAGCATGGCCAGCAGGGCAAGGGAGGTGAATCATCCCTCTGCCCGGCTCTGGTCAGACTCCACCTGCAGTCCTGCATCCAGCTCTGGGAACCCCAGCACAAGAAGGACATGGACCTGCTCGAGTGGGTCCAGAGGAGATCATGAAGTTGCTCAGGGGACTGGACCACCTCCCCTGTGAGGACAGGAGAGAGTTGGGGTTGTTCAGCTCGGAGAAGAGAAGGCTCCGGGGAGACCTTAAAGTGGCCTCCCAGTGCTGAACGGGGGCTGCAGGGAAGGTGGAGAGGGACTCTTTTACCAGGGACTGTGGTGACAGGACAAGGGGTAACGGTTTCAAACTGAAAGGCGAGATTTAGACTAGATGTAAGGAAGAAATTCTTCCCTGTGAGGCTGGTGAGACCCTGGCACAGGTTGCCCAGAGAAGCTGTGGCTGCCCCCTCCCTGGCAGTGTTCAAGGCCAGACTGGATGGGGCTTTGGGCAACTTGGTCTAGTGGAAGGGGTTCGTGCCCATGACAGGGGGGGTTGGGGATGATTAAAGTCCCTCCCAACTCAAATCGTTCTATGATTGATGACTAATGAATCTAGCAAAGCTAATCTAACTGTCCATCTCTAATCTGATCTTCAACAATTAGCCTTCCTTGGAGTTTTGTTCATCCTGAGATCTTGTATGTGGGAACACAAGGAGTGGGGAGAAACAACCCAGGTGTGTTGCAAGACCTCTGTGCTTGTGCATGTGTGTGCCTGTGTGTGTGTGGTGGCCATGGGCCCCCTTGAACATGTGGGTGGACAGTACGTCTTGACCCAGGCCATGTAATGTAACATCTCTGTCCCGGTAGTTGCAATTTCTGCCCCTTGCTACTGCTCCATCACCTGTCACTGCAAGGGCAGCTGCTCCCTAAGGAATGGGGTGCTGGGAGACAAGGGGGATCCTATGACCCGTGAGTGGGACAGACGGGGCAGGCCCAGAGGTCACAGCCAGGCTCAATGAAGACTCGAGATCATCAGGAGAGCTCATGGTGATAAGGCAGGTCGGAGGTCAAGGTGGGAAGTCAATCTGCAGCTCAGGTTTGGGATGCGGTGATGGTAGCCAGGGTCAGACAGAGCCCAGCAATCTCTGGGCAGATCTATGGTGATGGGACGGGGTGGAGGTCAAGCTGCGAAATCAGTCTGTGGTCAGAGTTCAGATCAGCCAGGCATGGGCATGTCTGTGGCTGAGCTGGAGACTTCCTACAGCACAGCTCAGGACAGGGGCTGAAGGTCCAGAGCTGAGCTGAAATGGGGCTCCTGGGCCATGGGCAGTGGATGAATGTCCCAGGTGAGGCTTGTCAGGGCCACTAAGACATATCAGGTCCCTGAGAGGCTCAGGCTGTTGAGTTGGGCAATGCTCCTTGTTCAAGCTCCCGCTGTCTTCTGAAGTTTCTTGCTGGAGATTCCCTGTGGCTCCTGAAGCAGGCCAGCACAGGCCAGCTGCAGAATCACTTCTCCCATGCAAGAACATCTCACAAAACAGTGAAAAACAACAAACCATGAATGTAAGTTCTAAAAGAAATTTAATAGTGAAATATCTACAGTGCAATAGCCAGATGTGGATAATAACAAAACCCATGCTGCCCTGCCTGCTGCCAGAGAGGAGGAAGGTGATGTATGATGTAGGGCTTTGCAATCACACCTCCGATGTCATGCAGACGTCGACCAAGGCGTCCTTGAAGAGGCGAAGGCACGGCTTGCACACAGTTGTCTGGGATGCTGCCAGGGTGGACAACGGACTCTGCACTGGCAGAGCTTGATGGCATATTCCTGCTCCCAGTCCTGCGCTGGGTCAGTGGTGAAAGAGGAACCAGAGGCCTCAGCAAAGTGCAGAATTCACAAGGCACAGGCAAGCGCACAGCACATGAGAGCAGCAGCTACCACCCTGCTTGGGAAGCTCCTGGGTTTGAGCATTTGCTCTTGCTGGCTGTTGCCAGTAACTACCGGAGTCCTGCTAACTACACAAGGCAGACCCTGCCTATGGGGATGGCAGGTTTCTCCAGGGTATGCAGCAAGGCAGAGTTTAGCCCTTTCATACACAGCACGTAGGCGCAAAGCAGAGGAGAATCTAGACCAGTTTTCGTAAGATTTGCAGCCTAGTCTCCATGTGTTAGCTTCATTTCTGATCACAGTGACAGTGGTACCTCTGGTCTTGTACAGCCAACCATGTACCCAAGGTATTGCTGGAATCCAGGGGCTACAAAAAGCAGGGTCTTATTCACATCCTTGACCTGCACAGTTGTTGTTAGTCTAAGTGATTTAGTCACCAGGATAGTCCCTCTTCTTCCCAACTAGGTACAATAGCTCCATAAGGAATTGACTCATGCAAGAGCTCAGCAGGCTCGAGGACGCCCACAGGTGTGGTACGGCCATGGTGGGCAGCTAAAACCCGTGCTGCCCTGCCCGCTGCCAGAGGGAAGGAAGGTGATGTATGATATAGGGCGTTGCAATCACACCTCTGATGTCATGCAGACATTGGCCAAGGCTTCCTTGAAGATCTGAAGCCTGCCCCAGCCAAGGTGGCGGTGCAGAAGCAATAGCAGGCCTGGCTGGGAAAGGACACTTCAGGCCATAGAAACCCACATGAAAAGCTTTTCATATAACTACTCAAGATGACAGCAGCAGCGAGAGACAAGGGCACCTCAAAGGCAGTTCTGGCAATCTTAAGTTCACGCTCAGCTCATATGTTGCAGCACAGGTACAAGAGCAAGCGTGTTACATCCTCTGAGCATTGATGCCCTGAACACAGAAGGTAAAAGAGGATCACCAGGGCCCAGGCTCTGCTCCCTGTGCCAGTGACAATATTCATTGTATTGATCATGCCTGCCCAGCACCATGGCCCACCAGCCAGTGTAGATGGGAGCCACCCGAGAGCCTCTGGCCATCTTCTGCGGCGGGCAGAAGGTCCTCACCAATCCAGGCCCTCCTTCAATGCCGGCAGCCTCCTGCTCTTCTCGCTGTAGAACTGGGCATACCAGCGCCGGTGCTTCTGAATGCTGGAGTCTTCTCTGACCAGCAGCGGCTTGGGCAGATACTGTTTGTTATTCCAGATGGTTATATCACGTTCAAACTGGGGGGAGAAGGATGGTCTCATTCAGGCGGGGAAGATAAACCAGCAGTTTTGTGCGAGCAACCTGCAGACTAGGTTTATTTTTTGGCATTTGTCCCAAATGTGGGACTGCTCGTGCTATTTGTAACCTGTAACACTGCAGCTCTGTCTGCAGGTAGCAGATGTTAAGCCCATCATAGCTCCTGAACAAGAACCCACTTTCAGCTTAGAATTCTCCTGTCGCAGGAGACACTGGAAAAGAAATGTAGGTAGGAGCTGATCCACCTGAGATTTTTGATTTGTTGGGTAGCTCCAGCCAACCAGGGTTTTGTAAATTAAACATCCACATCTTAAACCCTACTCAGACACACATGTAGTAAGATTACAGTATTCTCCTCTGTGAAGAAGTCTCTGCAGAAATGTGCTGCTCATTCACATCAGTAAGATGCAAAATATTAAGCCAGCATTTATACAGTATGAGCTAGCCCAGCTAAATTTGGTTTGGGGTAGGTTTTTGGTGTCTGAAAATTATCTTTTGGCAGTTTTTACTGCAGTGCTAGGGAAACCCTCTCTGGTCAGACCAAACAGTTTCCAGGCTTTAACCTCTGACAGAAAGGGATGACATGAGATCTTCTGGCTCCTTGAAAGGGCTGCTCTGTTATATGGACAACAGAGTCAGATTTTTCTCGGTAGTGCCAGCTGGTATAAGAAGGAGTAACAACTATAGATTGCAGGTTGAGAAGTTCAAAATGGAGATTAAAAATAAAAACTAACAGTATGGGTAGAGCAATAATGGAAAGGGTCACCCAAGGAGCTGGAGAGATGGGAATGTTCTCCAAAGGAGACCTTCAAGGCCATGCTTGACCTGAATTTGGCAATAGTCTTGCCCAAACTGGGGTATTGAACTGGAGACCTCCAGATGGACCTCTTACCACTTCCATGAATCCCTGTGGTAAGGACCTGGAAAACCTCTGTCAGGAGGGGCAAGACTTGCCAAATCTCATATAATTTAACAGGAGGCTTCCTTGGCACAGTTCCCACCAAAGGAGGCAGGATGATCTTAAAGCACCAACCTGGGATGCTGGAAATACGGATGCAGTTATTGGTCTCCTCAGAGACTTCCTGCAACTTGCCCAGTCGTTGTGCCACAGTTCCCCACCCACAGGAGAGGGATAGCACCTCTCTGCTGCCTTCAACAGATGACCGACTGCATGAACCCTCTTTACTTAACCTCCAGATTCGTTCTTTGGGCTACTAAAAATGAAAGATCATACCAAGCACTGAAAGGATCATGCCCATGAGTGCTTTGCTCCCACATATATCTGAGTCCACGCGGGCAACTGCTCTTCCTTCTCACACCTCCAAGCCACCAAGCTCCAGGGGACCGCCTTTGGCTGCTCTTCTTCAGAGGCCTTACCTGTATGCACTCTGCTCTCAGGATGAACTTGGGGATTATGGCTGGCACGTTCTTCTGGTAGTAGATCTTGTGAACAACATTCTGTAGGAGAGGCTCCAGGGGAGTCACTGTCTGCAGGATGATCCCGTGACCCAGGAAAGCGTGTTCAAAGATCAGGAAAACCAGCCCTGGCCCCACCTGCAGAGCAACAGAGCACCCTCAGGGAAAAGTCCCCATTGGTCCAGCCCTCTGGCACAGCAGCTCCCACAGCTTGAGACCTGCTTGAGATGTCTCCTAGACTGGGCTCAAGTCCCCCTTTACTCTGTCTTTTCATCAGAGAAGAGGCAGAAAGTCAAGCTGCGCCTCAGGGCCACGAGTCACAGACTGCTTGCCAGCTGCTAATGGCCAGGGGGTACCCAGCAGAGCCACGCAGCTCACATCGGCCTGGGACATTCTCAGATGTGCCAGGGCTGGATGGTTTGGCTGTGGGCCCACGGGAATTCATGAGGATTTACAGTGCTCTACTGGTCCCAAAAAGTTTAAAATCTAATATTCTAGGAAACGCTTCTGAATTTTCACCCGGTCTTGTTGTTCACCCCTGAGTTACCTTCAGGTCATGAACAGCCTTATTGGATTGTTGACACCAGTCCTGGGCTCCGAACTCAGTAGCAGCAATTGCAATGCAGCGTGGAGGTAACACCACATCCCTACTCCTGCTCTGGCTTTCTGCTTTGCAGCTACAACCGTCACATTAGGTTTTAGCTGAAATCAGCTTCAGCCTTTTATCTTGCATGACACAAAATACTTGTTCTGTGCTCTTTGATGTGCATCCAGACATGCAGATGCACGGTCATACACTTGGTTCTTTGAAGCAGTGCAGATGTTGCTGGGTTTTTCAGCTACTTTATTTGCTACCTCTTTAATGTTTGGTTGGGTACAAACCCCTTGTAAAGTTATTTTAATGTCTTTTTTCTCCTGCTCATCAATATCAGTGCTAAATAGCACAGATCTAAGAACTGAACAGAGATACAATCAACATCCACTTTGCGATAGTTTCCTAATTACACCGAGATCTGTCCCTTACCAAAGTTTTGTATGATGACTTATTTTGCTGTTGTTCTGAATTTGTAATATGGGAATAGGTCAAATGCCTTCAAAAATACACCAGAACAAAGTTAGTAGTTTTATCACACAATCTTAGCATTTCATCAAAAAACCCCACAACCAGAAATAAAAGTGGGAAGCTCTAGTTCCCATTGATTCATGGTATTATTTCTGTTTTCCTATAATTCTTTATCAATCTGTGTCAGCTACTTTATTACCTCATTCAGGGCTGATCTCGGGCTACCAGACACGCTGTTTCTGCTTGTTTGTCTTTCCCAGGCGTATTCACCATGGACTGAAAACGTCCACATTTCCTTATTCTAAAGAGCTGTGAGAACGGGCTGGGAAGGTCCCTCAGAATTGTCACCAGAGTTGGCTCAGGGACCAGCGTTTGTTGTGTTCAGTTGCTTTATGAGCACAGCAGCCCTTGCGAACCCTCCCTTTTCTCTATGCTGCCCAGCTGTGGAGCAGCCCCAATGCCAGTGCGCAGGTTTTGGCTCATGTGTCTCACGCACTTGGTAGGAAAGGCTACACTGGGCGAGATGGGCACGGACTCAGCCTTTCAGGTGACAAAGTCCTTCAGCTTGGGGTGCAAGTGGTCTCCAGCATGGACGTACCTGCCTGGCTGAAACCGTCAAATCCAGCAAGGAGATGTGCTTCCCAAAGATGGTTGCGGTGTGTTGAACCAGCAGCCGGGAGCAATGCTCGTTGGGCTCTGGCTCCGGCCACCACTCTGCCTGGAGGGGTGGAGAAGGATCGGCTCAGTCCAAGAGATGAGGAGTACAGGCTGAGGGGAGATAGCAGCGAGACGGTGACAAGAACTGGTTGTGAAGACCATCTAGAGGTAAGCACGGATGAGGGAGTGCAGATAAAGTGCTCAGACACACAGAAAAGAGACTGGACCTGAAGATGGGGGATGCAGCAGAGTGGGTGAGGTGGGACCGATGCTTTGAGGCAGAAAGGGGACCTGGTTTGAAAGACTTTGACCTCCTCATGGCTAAGAAGAGAGATAGGGTCTTACCTTCCAGATGTGCTTCATAAAATCCCACAGCTTGGACTTTGTGTATCTCAGATCGGATCCGCCCAGAATAGCTGGTCCATGGAGAAAAGCCAGGTGAGCCACGTCGGCCGCATTCTCAGGGATTTCCTGCCACGGGAAAGCAATTTGCCCTTGGCAAGAGCTGGCTTGGGTGCGAGCTGCCTGCACTTCATAGCAGTATTGCAATAGCACCAGCGTGGCTGCAGTACAGCCCAGGGCCTGCTGCTCCAAGCACAGCAGAGGTGCTCGCAGGTACATGACACAGCAAGAGGCAACCAAGTGCGTGGAGGAAGAGGCCTCGGTGCAGACTGACCTGGGACCAGTTCTTAACTAGTGTATAGGAATAATTTAAACATGAAGCTTAGAAAATTCAGAGTTCATTTTAAGTTCAAAGATGTCTATGCACGTTAACTTCTGCAGCTGAGACTCCAAATAAGTCCTTC